AACCTAAAGTTGACATGGGATGTTGTGCCTCCAAGGCTGGACACTCCCAGCCCCCAGCCCTCATTAATACTCCTGTTAGGAAGCCTTTACTTGCAGGTGACTTACAGAAATGGGAAGATTTAACTAGAAATGATATCACCTTTAAATGGCCAAAATGCAGTTGTCTTTGGGTACCTAAATTAATTTTTTGCATGCAAAAATTAGAAAAATGTCAGCTCTAAAATGAAACTGAATAAATGAATGGGAATCGTATTTTGACTTGGGAATTAAAAGCTTCTAAGGAGAAGCACAGATAAATTCTTAAAGAAATTAATAACAAATTTTAGAGACTGTCTCTGAACTATGCTGAAGCTAAAAATACCTGCACTCCACTTTTCCCCCTCCTGTAGCTCTTCCACTATATCCTTTGCCCTCTGAGCTTCCGTGTCTGGACTTGCCCTTCCCCCTTCTTCCTTCCCCGCTATCTCCTCCACTCCCTCTCCCTACCAGCATAAGGGAAAGTGAGAGGAGGAATTCCAACAGCTCCCTTTGGAGAAAAGCTGGTCTCAGCTAGCGCGGAACCAGCAATTGTTCCCAATTTTATCCGGGACCCTGATGGGTTCACAAAGAAATTTAACTGTTAGAACATGTGATCCTGGCTATTCTAACCTAGTCCAATTAATATACCTACTGGTTTCTGGGAGCAAAAGCAACAGAATTACTAAATAAGGTTCAGAAGAAAACTCCTGTAGAGAAGTCTGTCCACTTTAAGGGTTCTAGGAAATTAGAAAAACAAACAAAAGCAAGCATAAGGTTGCTCCAAGGGTGTTTCCCCTTCTCACTGACCGTTTGGGAGAAGTTGAAATCATCATAAAAAGGGAAGACACTGAGGCCCCTGTAAATACTGGGGCTACTTTATTTGCTCTTAACCACACCCAACTAATTGCCTTCTCCTTCAGGGTAAAGCTTCTGTACAAATGACAGGAATATTTAACCAATGTCTGTTTTTAAATCAAAACCTGTTTCCTTCCAACTAGGGAATGTTATGGGACAATATACATCTTTGCTAATCAAATCTGCCCCGATTCACCTGATAGAGTAAGATTTGTGGTGTGTTTTTTAATCAGTGATGCTCAGATATGCTTTTTCCAGAAGGGTAATATTGTATTTTTAACTATATATATATATCTATTGATTTCAGAGAGAGGAAGGGAGAGAGAGAGAGAAACATCAATGATGAGTCATTGATTAGCTGCCTCCTGCACAGACCCCACTGGGGAGGATCCCACTGGGGATAGGGCCCACAACCCAGGCACATCCCCTGACCAGGAATTGAATCTCCATCTCTTGGTTCGTAAGTTGATGCTCAACCACTAAACCATGCCAGCCGGACTGGAAAGGTAGTATGTATTTAGAACTAAATGAACCAGATACTCCCAAGAGGAAACTAATCTTGAGACTGACTGAATGTTTGCTGACCATCTTTTCTTCATTATCAACTTCCATGAGAGTCTGAGAGACTGCTTAACTGGGTATAACTGGATACCTGCCCTACTCAGAATGGCCCAAAACAGTCCAGAGACTTGCAGAGATGCCTCTAACTCTCATATTGCTACGTGTCTCTCTGCAGATGGGCAATCAGTCCACAGTGCCTTGAGATTCCCCTTTTGGGGTACATACTCACCAGCTGGGAGAAATTTGACCCTGAGAAAAAGGCTAATCTTTTGCAACACCGCCTGGTCCCAATCTAAAGTGAGCAATGGAGAGGTTTGACCATTAATTTTAATACTATCTTGCAGATAGGACCTGTTTAACCATTCCCAAGGAAAATGGACAGAGGTTCCATATATCTAAAAGTCTTTATGGCTCTCAGAGGCGACCCTAAGCTATATGCTGTCTACAAATTAGAAAAACTTGCCCAAATGGGAAGAAACGTTCCAAAAAATGGGTAAATGGATTTGTCAGTCCCTTGTTGAGGTATTAAAGTACTGTCCTTTTTTTAACAAATGCAGTCTTTACAGGGCCAAAGGTGTGGTTCCAGAACAGCTAAAGCCCACTAAGTCCTTTTACCTTCCCCAGACCTCTCCTATTCATCTCCAGAGGCTTATAGATAATTGGCTTTATGAAACCAAAGTCCCAGGATCTTTGAAATACAAATATCTGGTCTCCACCAAAAACTCTTGTCTGGGCCATTTTTTAAAATACAAATTTCTGGAAGCTGATTCTTAACAAAAGGAGAAAAACACCTTAGCCACCTAAGCAAATCACTTTAATTTATTTCAACTATTCCTTTCTAAATTAGTAAATTTTAATAATTAAAGTTATTGGATATCTAGATATTTTGAAATAACATGAAATGCTGAAACATTGATTGCTAGACAAATCTTAAGTTTGCCTGCTTCTTGGCTTTTTATTGCAGGAAGTCGGTAGAGTGGATTTGGAGCTGTTGATGAATGTCTTGTGCTTTGTTGAAGGTGTCTTTCTTGAAAATGAGGTTCATAAACATCAATCTAAGGAATGCTCGTTGTTTACTTTTTTGGTCTTCATTGGAAATTGAGGCTTCTAAGAGTTAAAAGTTCAAATTATGTTGGAAAGAAATTATATGATTTTGGTAATAGAAGGCAGAAGGTATAGAGATACATTTTTGCAGGACAAGATTGTTATTGATTTATTCTAATAATGGTTATTTCTAAATGGATAAGAAAGTCTGTGGAAACTGTAGAAAGGTTTGTAAAAGGTTTTGAAGACTATAAAAGTTTGTGAAAGTTAGCCCAGCTCTCTCCTGTTGCTTAATTCCTTAGATTAGAGCCAAGACTTCCTTTGGTTCCACCATTCATTCACAGCCCTTGAAGTTTTGAGTCTCAACAGGGCTTCCTGCTTGGTATTTAGGAACTTTCCTTACCTTGTCTAGTCTTCTTAAAAGTCACCAAAAGCAAATGAGAAAAATCTTGCATCTTCTCTACAAAAAGTAACAATTCGGGTCATATGTATGGTCTTTATGTGTTTGTCTGTGTATTATATGTGGTGTGTTTTCTGCCTCTGGATGACAATCCTAAGGGTTGATGTTTTATTGGCCCTAAGAAGGTTAAATACTTAATTTAATATAGGTTAAGCATATCATAAGGTACAAGTGACGGCAGACAAAAAAGGAGACCATAATAGGCTTAATAAAAATTATGATAAAACATGGAAAGGGGTTTTTGGTTGGCTGGGATGCTTATTCCCCTCAGACCCTTCCTTCTCTAGTATTAAACATGGTCTGTTCTTAATCCATGCTACTGGTTTAATACTATTGCTTTTGTTCCTGGTATGTGCATGTTATACTAGATGCAGAATGACAAAACTTAAGACAAGCAGCAAAAAGGACTGGGATCATGTTAGCTCAAAAATCAGAAACGATCCAGAATATTTTTTAACAAGGACATATAGGATCTGACTGTCTCCCATTCGCCTGTCTTTTTATTTTTAATAATAATAATTTGATCTTGAATGCCATCTAAGGTTACAGTCTTGCCCCATCGCCAGTGGCCCACCCTGTTCAGCAAGACAAATGCTGACACTGAGACGCCCTACGAATGAGCTTTCCTAGCACCGTGGACCCCTTTATCCAACCCAAAGGTTGGTCATCAGCACATCTTTGGACTGATACATGACCAAAAGGGGGACACGTGGACGAAAGGGGCGGTCACACACCAAACTTGACAAGCTCAGGTAAGGCCTGCATGGCAGCCTTGCAAACTCAGACCTAAAGTAACCACAAAGGATGGTCTGAAATTAAAACTTTTTAACTTAAAGCAGTTTATAGCAGGCAGTCATGTCCTAGGCTAGAATCTTCCTTGACAAAGGTCAATCTTTACCTAACTAAGTCTGTGTATTGTCTTTTGCATCCATATAACATTCCTTTGGAGTGTCAGGGTAGCTCCCCTTTTTCCAGATGCCCCTGAAAGGGCACGACCAGGGCACCTGGGTGGAGACCATAAGTCCTCTCATTGTTACTGTTGGGTTAATCGTTGACTGCTACCTATCCTGTACCCACCTTTGTAAAAGAAATAATGTCTATCATTTTACTTTCTATCCAATCCCAGAGGTTCCGCCCCCCCATTTGCTTTCTCCCACCTTCTTAATCTATCACCAATGGATTTCACATAGCCCACGTACCTCTCTTGATTGTAACGTTTAAAATAAGGCGCAAAATCGACATTCTCCGGAGCTTTATCGCAATGCCCTGAGATTTTGCTTCCGGGCAATTGTGGACAGTTTGGCTCAAATACACTCGCAAAAATTCTCTATAAGTTGGAACGCTTCTTACATTGATATTGAGGTATCTTGTTAATATGAGAACATGTGTTTCGACGGGGGAGGGGGCATAGTCTCCAGGACTTTAGCGAGTACCTGGGTCTTTAAAATGCTCCACAGATGTGTGCTAAAAAATTAAAACGGCAATCTTTAAAGCTTTAAACGATGCACAACAAACTCAAGCTATGCGGGCAGTTCCCAAGATTGGATATAAAGATTTACCTGGGACTCAGACGAGGAAAATGAGCAAAAATTGACAGCAAAAGACATCAGTTGGGCTTTTTCAAAAACTTCCTTTAGAAACAAGACCAAATTGCTAAGTGTGCCTTCTGAATGGCCTGGAGGGACTGCCACGGCGAGGCTTCCGTCCTACGGCCCCGGCCTTCCCCGGCCGCCGGCCGCAGCAGGCCCCGCGTCCGTGTCCGGCCTCCTCCGGCAGGAGCTCGGCGTCGGGGAGGCGCGGGCTGCAGGGAGCAAGCAGGCCAGGCCCCCCCGAGCCTGCTCCGCCGCGCAGCCCTGGCCGCCACCCCGGATCTTGGGGGCCCTGGAACCTACGGACGCCGGAACCCGGTACCAGGGGCGTGGGCGCAGCGGAGCATGATAGCTACCGTACCGCCCAGCTGCGAGGCCCGGGGGACAGGCGGAAGTTGAGGGCGCTTGACTCTGCTGGGGGAACATTGCCTGGGTGGCACCTTCCTGCTCGCGACTCCGCCCCCTCCAGAGGGGCTCGGCTGGAGAATTCAAGATGGAGTCCCTGAGTCGAGCTGGACAGGAGATGAGCTTAGCGGCCCTGAAGCAGCACGATCCCTACATCACCAGCATCGCAGACCTCACGGGCCAGGTTGCTCTGTACACCTTCTGCCCCAAAGCCAACCAGTGGGTGAGTGCCGCCGGGCCACTGAGGTCTACCGTCCTGCCACCGCCTCTTAAAGGGGCCGCGCAGACCGCCTGGCTGGGGGGTGATGCCGGAGGCTGGGCCGACCGTGAGGAGGCCAGGGGCTGGAGGACCTGGCCGGCGCCTGAGGGGTGTCGGGGGCCCGGGGATTGGTGAAGAGGGGGTAGAGAAGTAGGCCCAAGACATCCCAGGGAAAAGCCGACAGACGGGAGGAGAAGCAGTCCCTTGGGGAGGATTGGAGGAGAAGCAGTCCCTTGGGGGCTGGTCCGGGGACGTGGGTGATCTGCCTGCCTTGCTGATGTGTTAGGGATACGAGACTGGTGAGGTCAGAAAGGTGCCAGAAAGATTGAGGGTTATTAGATAAATTACAAATACATAACCCATAAAGTAAACGCTCCTCCTCCCCCCTGCAACAGATTCATAAATAAGAGCCCCCTTCGCAGAGGTCACTTGGATTTAAAGATTGAAATCCAGTTAGTTTCAGTACTTGGAAGAGAGGTGGTAGGGATAAACCCGGCTTTTATCGAACTACACTGTTTCCAGAGTTCTGGAAAAGATTTCAAGGCACTTAAAAGGGCTTCCATGTTCATTGGATTCCCTTGAAACCTTTGGAAAAGAGACCCAGTAAGTGTGTCTCGGCCCAGCTGGTGATGTCATCCCTGAATGCTCCCATCCGACTAAATACTTTTTGGCTTTTCTGCACGGGAGGGGGTCCTAAAAAGTTACATTCGGTCTGTTCCTTGACTTGTTGACCCTTGTTTGAAGCTTCCTTCATTGCTTTAATAATATAATTTCCTGTTTCCTAGTAATTGATCCTTCTTTAACTCATTCAGCTATAGGTTTTATTTACACTTAGAAAATAATCCGTAAATGTTTGATGAATTGAATTTATAAATCACTGACATTCACATTTCAGTAAGAAATATCATACTAGCAAAACAATGAAACGTAGCACAGTCTTTACAATATAATACAGATATAAGTTACATTTAACCAATAATTTTGTGAAAATCATTTGGCATTTATAAAGTTGATTCAGATGAAGACAGTTGTCAAAATTATCTTGCTTTAGATCTTTCCTTCACCTCCTGGAAGAGGAGGAGATATGGGAAGCCACAAACTATAGATTGTTTTTTTTTTAAGTGTAACTGTTTTTAGAAAACATTGGCTTAGTTTGAATTGTTATAATTTTTTCCTTGGTCTACATATAAATTTGTGAAATATAAATTGCAGACAAATGTTAAATACTTGGGGCAGGGACTTACTTACTAACAAACTTTTGTTTCTGATTTTTCACAAACTTTCAATATTTTGGGATTTTAATTGTGGCATTCTGCTTTAAATATGAGATACAAGCTATAATAACCTGAGTTGAAAAATAGCCTGCCATTGTTTGTTCATTTGGATTATGGCACACAGAGTATAACCAGAATCTTTTCTCTTTATTTTACTGTAAGTTGTGACTTTGCACAGTGTTTTTAGGGGCAAATTTTTCTCTCACTGTGAGACAGTTAGTTGATTACCAATTTCTTATACTAATAACATTTGAAAGTCAAGAAGGAAAAGTTCCATGATGATATTTAAGCTAGGCAATCAGGATGATAAATATTTTCAAAAATATTTTTATTCCAACAAATTAAATTTGATATGACATTTAAGGTTTTCTAACAGTTTGTTGATTACATTAAAATATTTAGGTCTTATCTAGGCTGTGAACTGCTGACTAACAAGGTTTTTTGGTGTGTGTTTTTAACGTTGCAATGTTTAAGACCTAAATACACTGTTGGCACAGCAAATGAAAAATGGTATGAGTTGTACTTTCTTAAAACATTTCAGTTCAAACTAAAAAAAATTTTTTTAATTGTAAGACCTACAATAATTACATTAAGGCAGAGTATATTTTTCAGTTTTCATGATTCTTCAACAAAGTTCTAAAACTAACAAACTGTGTTTGACAGTAATTTTTAACTAGCCACATTTGCTACTCATGAAATATATCAAAGCCCCCCAATGATGAAACAAAGTATGCTATAAGGTAAAATTTCCACTTTTTTCCCTACTAACTTTGATAAACTTTAAAAGTGAAGAAATTGCTGTATACAGGACCTTGCCTTTAAAAGTAAGAAATCTGGCTAAAACACTTTACCTTAAAAAGTGAAAGCTGCCCTACCCAGTTTGATTCAGTGGTTAGAGCGTTGGCCAGTGGACAGAAGAGTCCCAGGTTTGGTTCTGGCCAAGGGCACATACCTCTGTGGCAGGCTCGATCCCCAACCCCATGCAGGGCACCTGCAAGAGGCAACCAATCGATGTGTCTCACAGTGATCTCTATCTCCCCCGTCCAATCTCTGAAAAGCAATGGGAAAAATATCCTCGGGTGAGGATTAAAAAAAAAAAAAAGTGAAAGCTAATTCTAGGATTTTCTCCTTTAGATTTTTAAAAAGAATAAGAAAAATGCTGCAGATATAGGCATGTTGCTGGGTTGAACATTGCATTACATTAATATGCATCCATAGCATAGAAAGGATACAAAAGAAATTGGTAACAGTAGTTTGTGGAGTAAGAGAGACTCTTAACTTGACCTGTTCAAAAGTGTTTAATTTTAAAATAAATAGGTTGATCTTAAACATGAAGTATTTATTTTCCTTTGGAATATTTGGGTTTGCATTATGGGGGGGAAACTAATTGTTTCATTCTCTATTGTAGGAGAAGACTGATATAGAAGGGACCTTATTTGTATATCGAAGGTAAGCTTTAAAAAAAAAATTTTTTTTTAATCTGATGGTGAACAGTGTCATATGAAGTGGTTCAATACTGTTGTACATTTGTCTTTGGAACCTTCCTGCTTGACCCTTCAAGTTTTCATTCATCTGTGGCTGTGAGATCCTAACCCAAGTTATTGTCTACTCTTAGAGCCTTCCTGTGATGCAGAGCAAATAGAGCTAGAACTTATTTAGGGGGGAAAAACAGTTGAGAAAAATATAATACATATCCTAGCTCTATGGAAGGTCAGTCCTGCTGTTCTGTGGTTACTAAATAGAAGGTTATCTTCTATGACTCTGGTTCTGTCCCCTTTCCCACTCTCTCCCTAAAAGTTCTGGATTATTGTGTACAGTGTCTTTTGTAATGTGTATTTTTAATTTGATAGTCCTTTAGAAAGTCTGGATTATTCAGAATTGCACATTTTTATTTTCAACTTTTTTGACAATTATAAAATTTGATTGGTTTGCAAATTGCAAGTTTTGTGGTGTAAAAGTAACTGACAGGATACGATAGTCATGGAGTTTCTTGTTTCCCTGGAGCCCTGTTAGGTCTTTCTCTGGTTCCTTCCTTTGGATTCTAAAGCTTAGGGACTTAGCAGGAGTGATTACTGACATCTAGTTCTTTTCCTCTTTTTTGTACTATGAGTTATCTTTTAAGGATTGCCTTTCTTCATTGATGATAATTAACGAGAATTTGTCGAATATTCTCTAAATATTTTGGGGGAGAAAGGCCTTTACCCTTCACCTCCTTTACTATTCCTCATTACGAGTATAAATCTCTAGAAACTTTTAACTGTTGTTAGAACTTTAGTATCTATAATACTTGGAAAGTGCTTTTCTTGCGTTATTGTTACAGTATACAGATTCACTGATTATAGAAAATGTGAAATTTAGTATAGTGAGTAACTTGAGAGTAACTTGACTTAAAAAAATACATGGAAGCTTATGTGGTATTGATTCTAATAAAAGGAGACCAAAGAAACTCTATTTGGAAAATATGAGAACACTTTATATACCTCACACACAGCTATATCTGGATGTCAGAATATCACTTAGCAGAGACCTTCTCATAGAAGAAGCCTGGATTTGGAGTCAGAAAACCTAAAGCTGAATTCTGGTTACATTATTTGTATGACTTTGGCATAGGCCTTAATCATTCTGAGCTTGTTTCCTAATCTGTAAAACAGGATTCTAAAACCTCTCCTATGTAGCACAGAGAAAGGAATGAGAAACTATAAAGTGTTATATACATGTGGGGAGTGTCTAAAGGATCATGTACTGCCCGGCCAGCTTGGCTAAGTGGTTGAGCATCAACCTATGAACCAGGAGATCATGATTCGAGTCCCCGTCAGGGCACATGCCCAGCTTGCAGGCTCTATCCCCAGTGGCGGGGGGTGCAAGGAGGCAGCCAGTCAGTGACTCTCATCATTGATGTTTCTCTCTCTCTCTCTCCCTTCCTTTCTCTGAAATCAATAAAGACATATTTTTAAAAATATATACATATGGATAGTCTGACTCATAGGAATAGAAATATTTAAGAAAAAAAATTTTTTAAAGGGTCATATGCGGAATCACCCTGGTATGGGAACCAAGGATGCTTCTTATTGTAGGATTTGAGGCATTTTCTGTCTAATTCAGGAGAACTATGGAAAGACCTGTTTGATATAAGAAAAATCATTATTGTATTGTCAGACAGTCACCATATTTAAAATAAATGATTTTTTTTATTGAGCAATGTTTATTGAACATCTACTGTGTGTCTATCTTAGGATACATGTGGGGATAAAATAAGACATATACCCTATTTGCATGGAACATACATTCTAATGGAGAAGGACAAGTATAAAAAATAATAAGTGGTATGGAAAAAGAGAGAGGAGGGTTAGAGGTATTGAGCTTGGGAGCACTGAAAAGGGTAGTTCTCAGGTAGGCCTCATTAAGAAAGTGACATTTGAGCAAAGGTTGTGGGAGATGAGGTAACTGTAGATTCTGGACAAGTGGTCCAGACAGAGAGAGGTATTTAGACAGAGCGTCAAGATGCTCGGTGTGGCTGGAGCAGGAAGAGCAAGGGAAGAGGCATAGGAAATGAAGGGAATGGGGTGGGGGGCACATATCAGCTAAGGCCTTATGGCCTTAATAAGGATTTTGGCCTTAACTCTGAGGGACCGAGTCCTTGGAAGCTTCCGAGAGGAAGAGGGTTATGATCTGACTTAAATTTTTTTGTTTACAATTTTAAATGCTAATAATATTATGTGATGCAATAATGTATTTCATTCTTAGAAATGGAAATAAAGAAGTAGATAACATTTCTGCAAACTAACAGTTACTACAGATTTTTTCTTCTTCTTTTAAATCTAAGGTCAGCTTCACCTTACCATGGTTTTACCATTGTGAATCGATTGAATATGCACAATCTTGTTGAACCAGTGAATAAAGATTTGGAATTTCAGCTCCATGAACCATTTCTTCTGTATAGAAATGCAAGCTGTGAGTATATCTGTTTTATTACAGTTCATATATTTACAGTTCAAGTTGGGTGACTTTAGTTTCTATCAGCACATTATTTTTGGAGTTTTAAGTTACAAAAAATTTGGTGTATGCTCTTTTATAGTTATAAATCAGTCTCAGTAAAATCAAATCTTTTAAATTGGGCTTCTAAAATTGAAACACTTTTGTATACAATAACTTATGTTATTTTAGTTAACTATACTATTTCATATACTAGCATTATATTATATTTCTATCGTTTGCTTTATGAAGGTAAGTTCCACCCTTTGTTTTTTATGTGACACTGAAATATTGGCTGCTCATGCCCATGAGCAGTAGAACTTAATTTGAGAGACACAAGATGGGGACAGACACTGATACATCTGTCCCCAAAGGAAGTACTATCTTTGCCCTGATAGTGGTATTTTTCAGTCTATTTGTTTAGTTGAGTGTCTGCTGGGTACAAGTGCTGGGCCAAGAGGTACTGTACTTTAATGTTGATGATACAATAACCTGTGTGGGGCCCCAGTCAGTCGGGCTCAGTGGTTAGAGCGTCAGCCCTCGAACTAAAGGGCCCCGGGTTCAGTTCCAGCCAGGGGCATGTACCTTGGTTGCACGCTCTATTCTCGGCCCTGGTTGGGGTGCATGCTGGAGGCAACCAATCTATGTGTCTCTCTCACATCATTGTTTCTCTCTCTCCCCCCCCTTCCACTCTCTCTAAAAAGCAATGGAAAAAATATCCTCTGTGAGGATTTTAAAAAGTTATAATAATAACCTGTGTGGAGTAGGCAGGCAGTTAAGTCAGCTGAGACTCAGAGGTGAGTGGCAGCTGCTCAGTTGGAGAGTGAGGATAATAACTTTTTTTTTGCTTCATAGTCCAGGGTTCTTTCAGGCATTTTATAGGCTCTTAATAGTGGTTGGATATAGCCAGCAAAGCTAGAGTGGTCCATTCAAGATGTAATGTACTGAAAAGTATGCAGTGCTTGGTTTCTGTATTTCAATATTACCCATATTGCTGTAGCTATCATCTAAGGAAATTGCTGGAGAGAAATGTTGCCTCTGACTTAAAAAGTAAAAGTTACTATGCTTGAATTTCACTTGACTGGGAGGTAACTGGAATTGGGGGAATGTCTTCAGTATAAAATATAAAAAGCTATTAGAAATTATGCATCTTTTAATTCCCTGAATGAGAAATGGTGAGGTCTATTTTGAAGCTGGAAGCCCCAGATTCTTTTCCCTAACTCCCTTGCATCTAAGTGAAATGGAATCTATTTTCAATAAACGTATTTGTCCAGGTAATTGAATTACCTCTGAGAGTTTAATTTCTGTGGGCGTACTGGAAATGCCTTTTAATACCTATTAGTTCTGATGGATTTCTTGAAACTAATATTAACAGTAGAATTATTTTAGATGGCTGGGGTTTTTTTTGTGCTGAACAGTCTATTAAAGGAAAATTCTGCAAAGGAACACACCCGTTTTTTTAAAAAAAGGGAAATCGTCTTAATTCTGCTCCTTACTACCTGAAAACTTAATGTAGCTATTGCTTCTAAGAAAAATTTGATCATTAAAATAGTCAGTAGGGAGAATTATCAGAGGCCAATGGACTCCACTACCATTTAGTATAAGCCTAAAGTTCCTTTAAAGTTGAAAGTGCAACATAACACAAATATAATGAAACCTTGATTAACCAGAAGTAACTAATCAGAGTTTCAGTTATCTGGAAATATTTCTATGTCTGTGTGGAAGAAATGAAGGCAAACTATAAGAAAGCAAGCTAATGTTAGATTTTATTTTGTGACAATCTAGCAAATAAGTTTAAGTGTTACCTGGGGTCAGTATGAAAATCTCAATATTCTCTAACTTTTAACCCCAGAATAGTATCGATGTCATGGTTAATTTGTTGTAATGTTAAGATGTTAAATCATCAGGAGTGTTTATTATCTTAGATTATTGTTGAGCAGAAAAGTGCACTAATGCATTTTGTTTTAGAGATTTTCAACAAGAGGTTGAAACAAAGGTTTCTTTAATTGAACAGAAAACTCACTTAACCAGGTCATTTCATTTCCCAGTTAAGAGAGCTCTGAATTATCCCCTAAAGGCCTTACAGTTTCTGATACTGCTAATTAGAAATTCAGGAACACATCAGCTTGTTTTCAGGCTAGAGAAAGGCCTGAAAAGGTCAAGTACAACACTGTGGTTATATTAGAAACAGTCTAGGAAAGGAGCTTGGGGGAATATTTAAAGGAATAGATGTATCAAGGAGAAGTGACAAGACAGCATAAAGTGATCTGGGAGTGTTAGGGCCTCTCTTGACTAGTGTATGTCTTGTCTGTCTCATCTTAAAAGTAGAAAGTCTTGTCAGGTTAGCAAGCCGTTGAGTTGTTCAGGGATTTGTTCTTTAAATAAAAAGTTAATTAGTGTCTGATTGTGTATACAGGTAATTATGCCTGATTCTGTAGCTGCTCTTCTGTCATTTTCCTATGGGAAATAACCAAGACACCTGACCCATTCTACTCAAGTTCCACCTTCAGATCCAACTTCTTTCACTGAAATCAATTTTTAGAGTTAATGTAATAGAAAATTGAACTATAACTTTTTTCTAGTTCTAAATTGTTTTATTTATTTTATTTATACAAAATGCTCACCACCATCACACCCCCCAGGAAAAGGTAAAATCTCACAGAGAAAATGCTAACCCTAGTCAAGGGCTTAGGTTTGGTGATTCTCTTGAATCTTTCAGAAGCAGCACATATACACACACACACACACACACATATATATATATTTAAAAATCTATATTTATATTTTATATAATATGTATATATTATATATATTTACATACCTATTTTAAGTATTTTTTAATTGACTTCAGAAAGAGGAAGGGAGAGAGAGAGAGAAACATCAGTTATGAGAGTCATCCGTCTGCTGCCTCCTCCACCACTCCTCCTGGGGATCGAGCCTGCAACCCAGGCACGTGCCCTGACCGGAAATCAGACTGGGAATCAAACCACGATCTCATGGATCATAGATCGATGCTCAACCACTGAGCCTCATCAGCCGGGCTAGAAGCAGTATATTTTTAAATACTGTGCAAGGGCCTTTTGGGAACCAGAGGACCCCAGTGGGGCTTCAGTGAGGGTTGGGGAGACTGCAGATTCTGTAGTTACTGAGTAAAAATGATATTCCAAGCACCTTATTTCCGATTCTAGGTCTGTTGAGCTTCAAAGCCAAAGTTCTTTCTGTCCCCCTGCAACAATGAAATTGCTGTATCAATCCACGTTCCAGAGCATAGCCATCTGGGAGATCTCTGATGTTGGAAGTGTTCTATATCAATACCATTCCCATATAGCAGGCACCAGTCACATGTGACTGTTGAGCATTTGAAGTGTGGCTAGTGCAACAAAGGAAATTTTTTTCTTTTCCTTAATTTAATTTGGTCAATTCATATTTAAATAGTCATATGAGGCCAGTGACTGCCATATTGGACAATGGATATCTAAAGCATGAATCCATGTTCAGCCACACCCTTTTATTGTGCCATACCTGAATTGAACAAGCACTGGGGACAGTTTGAATTAGATTTTTATGCCTTCCATTTAGTCATTCCTTTTTAAAGTTTATAAATGATTTCTAGATACAAAGGCTGCAGAAGATATTCCTGAGGGTGGCTTTTTGCCATGGCAACACTCTTGGCATGGAATTTAGTTTGTAGACAAGAATTCTATTCTAGGCTTTGCATTTTACCAACTGTAACCTTGGATAAATCACTTAAACCACTGTTCTCTCCTGCTTGTCTTAAAAGGGCATCATATATGTGAAGATACTTTGTCAAGCACTTAAAGATATAAAATATTATAGCTGTCTCCATCTTGGACTCAAGCCAAATGATCTTATTAGTGAAAGAGTCATAAGGACTTGGATGTTATCCAGGTTCTTTTATCACCCAAGCTCACAGTGTGCGTCTTCCCATCCCTTCTGACTAGGGCCATGACAGGCTGGGACTCTGCTTATCTTTACAGATATTTTCAGATGTTGTAGGGGCCATTACTAGACAGCCTGAGCTATGACAATTTGAAAATATAAATATGTTAAATGGGAAATCTTAGGACACATTTTTTTAAACTCAGCAGAAGCATTTCAATTACAATTGACATACAATATTATATTAGTTTTAGGTATACAGCATAGTGATTAGACATTTATGTAACTTAGGAAGTGATCACCCTGATAAGTCTAGTACCCATCTGCATGGCATTCATTTTTGTCAGAATACTGGAACACAGCACCCTCCTGACTAAAACTTTATTTTTATGTAATAAGTGTTTAATTTCCCTAAAAAAACATTGATGAGGGTTTTTATTTTATCTATGAATAGTTGAAAGAAACGGTTCCTTTGCTGTGTAAACATATGCATTACTACCAATCTGCTGATCTTCTGTTTTCATTTGTAAACAGTCCATTTTACTAACTGGATTATAAAATCATTTTTTTTGTTAGACTCTAAACCTCTAGGAGTTCTGAGGCATAAGCACGTCAAGGAAAATATCCTTCAATTCTGTCCAGCAATAGCATGACAGAAAAACCGTCTTCCTACAAACATTTAGAAATGCTGTATAAAATATTAAATGCATAGCTTAGCCAAAAGGGAAATAGCAGACATTGCAATGGGCCAGTATCAAAGCAAAGACTAAAAGCTAAACTGGGAAGCCTGTGAGCTGACGCTGGCTGCCAGCTGTTAGGGGCTCTTGGGGATGGGGAGCTCTCATTAATATAAGGACTCCATTGTAATTATATGGGATCAGGAGATAAGATCTTGCTTGAGTCCTAATGAGGTGCAGAGTTGGAGCTGAGACATGCATGCCAGCATACAGCCAGGTCCCCTAATAAGCTACATAATAATAAACTAGAAAGATATTTGCCCACCAGTCTAGGGAGATAACAGGCAGGCTTATCTGTCTCAGTCGGGGCTGTGAGTTAGAGGGCAAATTTCTTCCCTAAAA